GAGTTTCCCTGGTAGTGCCCAGAGTGGCCACCAGGGCAAGCTGGGAAGGACTAGCCTCCCACTAGTTCAAATTAAGTGGCTATACAGCCCTTAATTCGAACTAGGCGTTAGTCCTCGTAGAATGAGGTTTACCTAGTTCGAATTAACCGCACTGAATTCGAACTAGCGGTTTGTATGTGCAGCGCCTATCAAAGTTAATTCAAACTAACAGCTGTTAGTTCAAATTAACTTTGTAGTGTAGACATTCCCTTAGAGGGAACACTACTCCCCAGCCTCTCCGCTCCCAAGTTAATGTCACACACATTAGGTTAGTGCAATTGCAGGATAGTCGCATGAGGGGGTTTGGTGGGGGCCAAACTAATCCCTGTTGGTAGGAGGATGGTGGGAAAAGTCCTTAGCGGGGAGTCACGTGACACCTTTTACTTCTGGTCATGTTTCCATCTTGCCCTGAGAGTGTTGCCTCCAGAGGCGTGGCTAATGGGGGTCAAAGAGTACATTTAAAAAAAAAATCTTTGGGTGCACACCCTAATGAAATGTGCTGCGCATGCCTACGCAAGGCATCCATACCTCTGCAGCTCCTCTCCACGATCGTACTGAATCCTCTAGTTCAGTTGTGGGGCTCAAATTAGAATTTCCCATCCCAGTAGCATTCTTCCTTTCCTGAGCTACAGCTTCAGCAAAACAAGAGTGTGCCACTGGCTGGACTTTCTGCAAAGCTTGTGACAAAAACTGAAAGTGAACCTGCATCACTGTCAAGAAACATCGTCCAAGTAACTATGAAAGAAAAGAAACAAAATTCAGGAGTGCGTTTGGGGTTATTTTTGGTCAATGAATCCTGATGTTTAATTCAAGCAAATGAATCAAGTTCCTAAACTCAGATGGATCAATGAAGAGCTTTTTTTTTTCTTTTTTTAATAATGCTTCACAATCAAACCATCATCAATATTAAATCATAGCTAAAGCTTAAATATGTGCTTAAAACACTTAAGAGTTACTTCCGAACACTGGTATTATATGTATTACTCAAAAGCTCGTAAGTTACATGATATTTCATAAAATAAAAATTGTATCTGCTTAGTATAAACTTTTTCTGTATCATCTTTACAACACTCATGTTCTCAAGTCATGGTTTTTTCAAGAATGCAAATCTGAAAAGCTGATTCAACTACATAGCCATATCAAGTATATAAAAGAAATACATTGTATAAGACTGTTTAGTCTCAGAGGAAAAATGTCTACCGTACATTAAAGCATCACTTGTATGTGATGAGTCACACTCTCCTACAATGTTGGCCCAACATATAAAATCTACTTTAGTTACATCAATATAAACCAAGCTTATTACCATATTAAAAGGCTGATAATTAAGTTTGATATTCTGCTTAGAAAATCATCAGAAATATATGTGAAAAAATCTTTTGACATTTGAGAGACTGAACTTTTATTTTTTTTGGCTTCTTTGGAGAGTAATTTTGACTGATCTGGTAGTACGTTCACCTGGAAGAACTTGTACAAACTGACAACCTTATCTCTGACATCATCTGACAGGAAAAGAAAGAGCTAAGAATGTTAATAGTGAGTAAATGACTAATCATGTACTCAATAATATTTGTGTCAAGTACACCATTAGTTGATAAGGGGCCACTGCAGCTCTGCAGTTTAAATGTAGTAGAAGCTGGGCATGCAAACTGCATTTAAACTGCAGAGCCGCAGAGAGGATAGGTCCAGAATCCAGAGCAAGTTGGTACTGAAGCAATCCCAGCTTACACCAGATCCCACGCTGGCCAACAAGACATTTTGTCTACCTCTGCCCACGCACAGGGTTGCCAGATTCCACTGTTTTCCATCTGCATAGTTTTTTCCCCTACCAGGAATACTAAAGTGACTTGCACATAAAGCAGGGGCATGTCAAGTAAGGGGCTTGCTGATGGCACACCACACTGACTCTAAGAGCAGTGTGCTCTCTCTGCATCCAATCAGAACTTTGCTATGGTTTAAGCGGCACATAACTCAAATTCTAGGTATGCAAATGCAGTTAGCAAAACTGTCCTATCCCAGGAGACCATCTTGGTTACAACAATCTTGAGGGCCCCTGAGATGAAGGAGAGCCATTTATGCAGCCCACTCACTAGACTAGATTGCCCACTGCTGGTCTAGAAAGCCAGTTACATTATTCTCTCCCTCCCCCATGCCCAAATAGATTACAGATGCTGTATCTATGACCACTCTAGCTTTTGCAAGCACATAGAATGAGAGATTCAAACTCCTAACTCAGATAGGTTCCAAATCCCAGACACTGGATTTGCTGTCTCTTTTCTTTGTAAATCTCCCTCTGTCATTTTCCCCTTTCCCCTTATCAATATGGCAACCCAGGATTATGCTTGCGCTAACCACACATGCCTACTATTGGAATAAGCAAAATGCACCTGCAGTCAGCATGGGAGGGTAAGTACAAGCTTCCAACAGAACAGAGAATGCAGGGATAAGAACAAACAGGAATATTCTATAGTTAGGAGTCTGCCATAAATGGGGGTGGGGCATAAAGGCTTGCAACATAAAGGGTGCCAGGAGCCATGGGGGGAGCGGAAATGCTTGCTTCCAGCTGCCGTTCGCCCCTCCCCCAGTTATGTGCTGCATACCTCCCCCAGGAGTACTTAAAGGGCCAGTTTCCTTTTGCTTTTGCCGGAGTCAAAAATTTGCCGGATTCTACAGTTTTCCAGATGCTTAAGTTTCGGATAGCGCAGATTTTACGTACCAGAGCAGTAAATGTTTTCAAAGTTACAGCAGAAAGTAATTCAAATGGGTAGTGTACTGGACTAGAATTTGGAACATACAAGCTTTATTCCCAGCTCCTCCACTTATCCAGGCTACGTCTAGACTGCAGGCTTCTTTCAGAAGTTTTTCCAGAAGATATCTTCCCAAAAAACTTCTTCAGAAAGAGATTGTACACACTTCCAAAGCGCATCGAAGAAGTGATCTGCTTTTTCGAAAGATAGCATCCACTCTGAATGGACGCTATCTCTCATGTAAGCTGTGATTACTATGGATGGAGTCATTTTTTTCCTCTTCTTTTTCCTCTTTCCTGTTATTTTTCCTCTTTCCCGTTCTTTCAAAAGAATTCCCTCTTCCCCGTCCACACATGCCTTTATCCGAAAAAGAGGTATTTCGGAAAAAAAGGCTTCTTCTTCGTAGAAAGAGGTTTTCCAATGCTGGAAAAACCCTTCTGTTCTTTTGATTTTTTTCAAAAGAACGTGATTGCAGTGTGGACATAAATGAAGTTTTTCGGAAAAACAGCCTTTTTCCGAAAAAAAAACTTCTCTAGTGTAGACATACCCCCACTTTCTAACTCTGGAAAGTCTAACGCTCTCCCTCTATGCCTCTGTTTCCTCTCTCACATCTTTTGTCTCTCTTCTATTTAGACTATACATCATACAGGGAATGGACCATGCCTTATATGTATCTATAGAACGCCTAACACAATAAGGTCTAAGCCTCAGAGGAGGCCTTTATGTATTACAGAAATACAAATAATGAAAAAACAGTATTAATGAATCCTTGTGACTTTCAAGAAGATAAGAAGTGAAGATTACAGCTGTAATCTAAACTATTAATATTAAAATATTAAATATTTAAAACTGCTATTTTTTGGTATACAAGCATATACACTTGTTATAAATATAAATATGGATAAACTTCACACAGTTTCTTTTCTTTTAGTTTTACTGTAGTTGCCCCAGAGAGAAGGTGAATAAATATGAATGCAGAAATGTTTATATACATTTTACCTTCTTCACAAAAAGCGTACCAGAGCTAAACTGCTGCACCATTTTAGGAAGAATGCATAAAATGTACAAACAGTGTACAAAGGCATTCTGTCTTGGAGAACAAGAAGTTATCTGGCTTATTTTCAGTTACATTCTTTTTCAATAAAAATATTTAGCTACAGTGATCGTACTGGCAAAATGCTGGAGTCACTCTAACAGTTATATGCATTAATAATCTACTTTAACAGAACTTTACCAGTGGCAATTTTTGTTTTCCATTGCAGCCAGTCTCCTTTTGACATTCCATTCTGGTTCAATCATTTCCCCTCTTTGTACAACATATAACATGAAACAGTTCTGATACTATGACTGACCTCTGCAAGTGTAGTCTGCTGTATTAAAAAAGAATTCCACAGACATTAAGAACAAAACACCAACTTGCTTGATTACAAAATTGTAAAGTTTTCTATTGAAATTTCAGGAGCTACTGAAGAGAAAAAAAAAACCTCCATCAGGGGAAAAATTCTGTTGAGGAAAAAAAAGGGGGGAGACCAAAGTTGTTGAGGGGAAAAAAGGACCCCGAGGGTTGTTACGCAAAAAAAAAAAAAAAACCACAACCCCGGACTGTTCGGTTCAATACCGGACACCTGGCAACCCTATAAAGAAGAGCTCTGTGAAAACTCAAAAGCTTGTCTCTCTTTTATTTGACTGATTTCTGTGGATGAGACATATACAGCACCCATCTTTTGCCTCCAATAAGATTCTGCTCAATCTATTAAAACTGGGCAGTTATGTATGGCAGAGTTAAAATTAGGGGTGTCAATGGTTAACCAGTTGATGATTACTGATTACGGTTAACTGGCAGCCTGGGCGGGAGGGAGGGCCACTCCAGCCCTGCCAGCTCAGAGCATCCCCCTGCTCTCACCCATTAAAGCGCTTATTGGTTAAATTTATAATTCAACTGGTTAACTGATTTAACAGGATTTTACATCCCTAATTAAAACAGCCATTGTCACCATTCCAAACTTATTCTTCTTTGCTCATTCCTTTGGGACTTGAGTTTTCCTGCTAGGAACTACAAAGGGAATGGATTGGATTCTTGAGAATATCTATTAAATAGGAACCGGCTTGATTTTCCACAATTTGTAAATGATAAAATAGCCTCAGCCTCCTTTTCTGGAATCTTGGATGTTCCGGATATGATGGAAAAAGGTTTCTGTGTCCTTGAAAACACTTATCTTTAACAAAAAAGTCCCCACCACTTTATACCATTCCTATACTTTGCTTGGTCATCATGAAGACTCAAATACTTCTTATCTCAATGGCTCAACAATCTTGTGTAGAGGAATCTGGCATGATGTTTGGACAGGTGCAAATAGTGTGGCTGTTGGAGACATACTGTGTAGAACAAAGGTTCTCAAACTTCATTGCACCATGGCCATGAGAGGGGATCGAAGCCTGAGTCTGTCCAAAATTCACTTCCCTCGATTGGGAGGGCCTAAGCTGGAGTTCAAGGGCTTCAGCCCCAAGCAGGGGACTTGCAACCTGAACCCTGCTATCTAGGGCTGAAGCCTCCAAGCTTTGGTCCTAGACAGTGGGGATCCAACTTCAGACCCAGATCCCAGCAAGTCTAACCTGTCCCTGAAAACGCCAAGGGGAGTTATGACCCACTTTGGGATCCTCACCCACAGTTTGAGAAATGCTGGCACAAAACATCCTTCCCTTAACTATTGGCATTTGCAGGATCTATCGAGGCTCTGCTTCCTCTGTACAGCTTCTAGTGATAGGCTTGCAAAAATACATACCCTGCCATGAAAGAGGGAATGGGAGAGTAGAGAGTCAGTGATGGTCACATCGACACCATGCAAGAAGCAACTGTGAATCATAGATTTTGGTTAGAAGAGACCAAAATAGTGAAATAGTTTTTCCCAGTATCCAAAATCTACTTCCTCCGCTGTGACTTGAGACCATTGCTTCTTGTTCTGTCATCTGTCATCACTGAGAGTAGCC